AACTCACAATTCAAACATGAAGCCTTGATTCACCTAGAGCCAGCTGAGGAGTGGTTTGCAAACACTCTGTTAGTACCAACATTTTGATCTCCCTTCCCTTTTTCCTTTATATTTAAAAGCTGCCAGAGCATCCTTTTCTACTGTAGCCAAAAGGTTCTTCTTAGAAAGTGTCACCTTCAGCAAAGAGATGCTGTCTTGGGCATTTCTTTTCCACAACATAAAAGGCAAACCCCACGTGTGTCCCACATGCAGGTGAAGGGGCAGAGAGCCCAACTGTGTCCAGAGGGTTGGGGGCAGCTGTGGTCATGTTGGCAGGGTTGCTCACAGGATGCAGAAGCACAGGAGTACACAGGAGGTGCTCCAAAGATTGGGAAGATGTGTAAGTAAACCCAAACCCCCTCTTATAAATCAAAGCAGTGCTTGGCTATGGAGAGGGCAAAAAACAGGCAAAAGCAAGGCTGTCCTGTGAGCAGCCTCAATAAACAACAGCCAGAAGCTGTCCTTGAGAGTGCCTTTATCTCCAGAGGTTGCAGAGAGTCAGTGGGATGGAGGAGGAAGGGTGTCAACAGAGCCAGCTTGGTTTTGTACTTTCTTTACTCTCTTTATTCTTTGTTTTCTGACGATAAAGGAGCTTTATGTGGATATTGCAGCAAAGGAATTGATGAGTCATAAGGTTTACAACTGCATTTCCCCCTTGCTCTCTTTATTTTTTTCCTGATGGTCCCATCTCCTTCCTTTCTGCCTTTCCCCTCCTCTGCTGGCGCAGCAGGACGTGCTGTGCCTTTAAGAAGTGTTTTGTCAGAGGACTAATTCCTGAGCTTTGGCACGTGTCGAGGCATGCCCTCACTTTGGTGGTGTGTTTTATGAAAAACTGAAGTGCATTTGTCTAGGGAGGGTTTAAACTCCTTTCTGCCATGGATATGCTTTACCTTTCTGTTCTTTGCTCGCAGAGCAGACACCACTCAGCATCACCATGGGGAGTTCTGCTCTCTTCTCCAGAAGAGATGGGGACACCAAGTGAAGTAGGGGGCTTTTTTTTGCTTTTTTTTTCCAATTAAAATTTTTATTTATCGAGTTGTTCTTCTGCATGGCAAGTTCTTTTACGTGGCAAGCCAAGATGGCAAATTCTCTTGCTGTTTTTATCCTCCCCCTGGCACCGATATCGCTGCAGTGCTCACCTGCCATTGCAGTAGCAGAGTGGTGTGGCCTAAGACACCTTTGACCTATCACAGTCACACCATTGGCAGCTTTATTGTAAATTTCATATATTGTGAATTTCTTAATGTTCTTTTTCTCCCCCATCATGGTCAAAAAGAAACTTGTAAGAAGACAATGCAATTATACTGTGAAAATTAGCATAGCATTGCATAAATAAAATGTAGGGGGGGTTCTCTTCTTTTTCTTTTCTTTTTATTTGTTCGTATTTTTAGCAAACCTCATTCTTTTTAAACCACATGTATACGTGGGGAGGTGTGCCTGGATATTTTTTTTTCATTTGCTAGGGACAGCAACATGGTCTTAAAACCACAGCTCCCAGGGAGGATATTGCAGATGTTACAGGCGGACCAGGAGGTGACTACGGAGTTACCCTTGTTTTAAAAGCCATGTTGGCTGCAAGGCTTTGTGTGCTAATGTTGTCTTCTAATAACAGCACAAATCCTCTTGGACTTCCAGCCTATGTATTGTTTTATTCCTCGAGGTAGAAAGTCCAGGTGAGCAGAAATTCCTGGCACTGTGGCAGCTCTGGGACTTGCCGTGCAGCCCCCACGGGACGTGGGCCCCACAGATGGAAGAAGGGGGTGTCTGGTAGAGACAGGCCTGGTTTTATGAGGAGAGATGTTGGAGGGGAAGGGAGGGAGCAGGAGTTAGGATGTGCCTTCCACACTGAGGTGGTTGGGTGGCTCTGATTAAGTCACTTGACCTTTGAGCCGAGGGAAAGGGAATGGCTTGCTGGGTTTAAGGGAATTCATGTAACAGTGCTTTCCAGTCTCAGCTCTGTGACTGAGCTGGGTGCAGTTGTTCTATTTAAGAAGCTTGTGTTGAGCCTACGGGAAGGCTCACAGTCCTCCCCTCCCTCCTGGCAGCATCCACTGGGTGTAGTGTGCTGGAACAGGAGGCAGAGGCCCTGGGACATCATGGGGTGGCCTGGGCAAGTCACTGCCCCTTTGTCTTCTTCACTCTTAAAGCTGAAGTGCAGATCACATCTTTTCCCTTCCTTCCCAAGGTGGGCCATGGACACACAGCACAAGGCAAACGTGAAGTATTACCCAGCAATTATGGGTGTTGGAAGTGATTTATTTTATCATAAATGAACGTTTGATCAGGTGAAATCACAGGAAGGAGAAGGAAGTGTAGAGGAAGCCTCAAGCAGGAATTTTTCAGGCAGCTGGAATGCTGGCTCTCCCATGCATGCACAGGCTCTGAATCCAGTCCTGGTTACTGAGATGGATGGGTGGCATAAAAATAGACTGACTTCTATAGGTGTAATATTTCACCATACAGAAGGAAAGAGATCTTTTTTTTTTTCCCCTTCTTCTCTTGGGATTCGGCATTTTATGAGGAAGCAAAGAACTGCTTTTTGCAGCGTTGTCTGGCTTATCCAAGGCTGACACAGCAGCTCCTTGCATGTAGTCAATTGAGGATTTTAGGGAAAAAAAGCAGATGAAACATTACCAGGTAGATGCTGACATACTGGCACCATCAGGGTACAGTTTGTAAAGTCTCTGGTGCTGCCAAGGATCAAAGAGTTAAAAATTCCCAGGGTTTAATCCAGCATAATGACATTTTGCAAGGCCTATCAAATTCATGGAAAGTGAGAAGCAGAAAAGCGACCGAGCTAGGTGGAAAATGAAATTAGGTGGCATTATGTTGCCACGGGTTTATCTGACTGGTTATTTCACTTAGCAGGGCAGACACAGGTTTTATCTGAGCCCTCAGCAGGAGCTCAGCCCGAGCTGTGCTCCCTGGCTGGGTTATCCACAGAAATGGAGTGCCCTTCCTTGGATTTGAACAGGGCAGTGTTCTGCTGGAGCTGTGCTTGGGCCCTGATTTGTATGCTGTGGAAGCCATCTCATTCCTTAGAATACAGCCATATATTGTTGTGTTTGTTTTCCTTCTGCTGCCATGTACAGAGTGGACTGTTTGTTTGTTTGTTTGTTTGAAGGGTTTAAACATCTGGAAGAGACCAGGGATAGCAATGTCTTTGTCCATGGGTTAGATGAGGAGCTGCAGGTCCCTTACAAAGTGAAATGTTATGTGGCATCTGCTGTGATGCTTGTGTGTAAACTTGAGAGTCATACGTGAGGGTTTTGGTGTGGGAAGGGCAGTCAATATATCACTAATCCAAGCAGCTGGATAAAACCACTGCTGCTAAAACCAGCACAAGGTAAAAATGGATTGATTTCCCTAGGTAGTTCTGCAGCTGGTTCACATGGAGGTAATACCAAATACAAACTTTGGAAGTGAATGTTTACATGCAGTCATCTTATCTGACTTCGAGTGAATAGTGAGATAAATTGGTTTTTACTAAATATGTCAGTAAATGATGCACGTAAGGCAGAGCTCTCTCTGAGAAATTCAGCTCTCCTGCAGTGTGAGGTTTGCCATATTATTTGGACACCAGCAAATGCAGTTATAGCCTGAATCTAGACAATAGGTTATCACAGATGAAAAGAGTAAGTAGAAAGCAGGAAGAAGAAAAGAAAAAGAAAAGGATAAGTTCTATATTGCAGCCCCTTTGCAGTGAGTGGGAGGTTACTCTGCAAGGAGCCTTCGTGGCTTTTACCAGACTATTTGCAGACCAATGCCGTAGCAACAGAGAGCAGTTCTTACACTCTGGCTCAGTCTATGGCAAACAATTCCTTTTCTGAGAAAGCTAATCACTGTTTGGTTACATTACTTCCCAGCAGATGAGCCAGGCACTCCTGAATTTAAAACAGAACTGGCAGTGAGTGACAGCGAGCTGAGCACGGGCTGGAGTCTTGTAGCAGCATATCCTTCAGCTGACTGCTGCAGTCAGGGAGAGAAAGGAGATTTTTCCTTTGAAGATAAGACACCTGGGGCTTTTGTAGAAGCGAAGTATGCCCTGAGTTGTGCAGCTGTTATCTCAATTAAAAGGCAGAGAAAGACAAAGCATCTGGCTCTTCTGTGCACCGCCAGATATTCCTCAAAATGCTCAACCCCAAGCCAGCACTTTTCACTCCGTTGCTTGTGAATCCTCTGCCGTCCTGTGGCTTTGTGGCACCGTGAGGAGGAGCAGCCTGGGAGGGAGCTGAGCGTGTAAGGCAGAGGGAGGGTGTGGATGTGTCTGTGTGAGCGTGTGTGCAGTGTCGTAACGTGGCAGGGCACAGCCAGTTATGAAACTTCCCAATAAAGTCTCAGTGCGTCAGTATTGGTTGCTTTGGGGTTTGGTTGGTTTGCTTTTTTGTTTTGGTTTTTGTTTTGTTTTTTTTTTTCCTGTCCGTTGCCCTCCAGTTTCATTTCCATTTATGAGTGCAGAGAGAGAGAGAAAGAGAGAGAGAGAGAGACTGGGAAATGCCCTGAGAGCCCCCGAAGGCGCTGGAGGAGCCGAGCAGTTCCCATGACAGGTGGAGCACGGCACCGCGGCGCTGAGCGAGATTCCCGGGAAGTGGTGCCCGGGCACAGGGGGAGGAGGGGAAGCCCTCGCACTCAGGGGGCAGCAAGGGGCCCCTTCAAAGCGCTGCAGCAGCAGCAGCCGCCAGAAAAGTTCGACTTTTTATTTTTAAAAAAAAAAAAAAAGGACTGGAGAAAATTATTAACCCCGGTCGGTGACGTCAGAAGTTGATCTGATTAAAGGTTTGTTTTTCTTGCTGGCAAGAAAGGTGTGCTCCGTAGAGACTGGTTCTCTCTTCTTTTTTTTTTAAGTTCCTTTTTTGAACAGCGGACGGAGGGAGCTGCCCCGCGCGCGTGTGTGTGAGCAGGATGGTGTATCTGTAGCCGCCACGCGCGAACACACATTTGACCATGAGGACTCTTCGCAGGTTGAAGTTCATGAGTTCGCCCAGCCTCAGTGATCTGGGCAAGAGAGAGCAGGCAGCCTTGGATGAGCGGGGGACCCAGCAGCGCCGGGCCTGCTCCAACGCTACCTGGAACAGGTAAGGGCTCGCTCCACGTGCCGGCTGCTCCCCGCGCTCCCGGTGTCCGCCCGGGTGTCCGCTCCGCCGGCTCCCAGGCTGGAATGCCTGGCTCCCGGCCCAGTCTCGTGCAGGTGGAAGCGGGAGCAGCGCTTTCCCCCCTCCCTTCCTCTGAAGCCTTCCCTGCGGATGGCTCAGCCTTCCTCCTGGCACACGGCAACTTGTTTCACTTGTTCTCACTTGTTTCGTATTTGCCCGGCTGCAAATGTGACTTTGTGTCTATCTAGATACTCTCATTCAGGGTTTATTTTGGTTTTGTTTTAGTTTGCTCTTTTTTAAAAAATTACACGCAGCTATTAAAACACATTGTTTTTATCTGCGTAAACATGTTGCTGGTGGTTGATGCAGATATGACAAAGTCTACTCAATTTACTCCCATTATTACAAAAAATTATTACTCTTCGTGTGTGTATGTGCACACGCAAGCACCCGCACTTTGGACAGGGAAAAGTAAGCCCTGCTCGTTTCATTTATTGTGTTTATACATTTGAATTTTATGACTGTTCTACAAGAAAACCCATACAAACATTGTTGTGAACAGGAATTAGCCCAGATATTCAGAAAGCATCTTAATGACTGTCTTGGTGACGCTCTTAAAAGATGAGCATGAGTCTCTTAAGTTGTTAGGAATTAAATTCTCAAGTCATTTTTGAAAATGAAATGTCATCTCCTGGGTCACAGCTTGGCAAGTGTCTTATAATGTTTTATAATTGTATGGCAGTACAAGTGTAGGAAGAAAAATACCAGTGGATTACAGACACATTCGTTAAAGGTAGTTCAGTTTTGGGAGAAATGAACCATATAAAATACCACATCTTCTGTCCTTCTCACCTCTTCATTTATGGTTTCATGTCAGCATCAAGAATTGTTGAATGGCAGAAGTGCACTGAGCACTGAAACTGTGCTGGTCACAAAGGAGGCTGAGTTTCTGCTCAAATATCACGTTGTTTGTATGACCCAGAGTTGCACCCGAGGTCTGGATGGACAGGGGTGGTAATTAAAGGATAGGCTGGGCAACCTTTGTGCCAGCTGGACTTCATTTGGCCAGGAAGCAGCAGGGAGTAAGACACTCCTTGGTGTGAATCAAGGTGACAGAACACAGTCCCCAGAGCCTTTCTGTGACGATGTTCTGACAGCTTTTCCAGGTCCTGCTTCCGGGGAGGGAGCTGTGGAGGCAGACGTGAATGGGGAGCAGGTCAGGCACCAGGCTGGCTGGGAGGGGGAGACTTCCAGGCACAGGGGCTGCTGGTCCTCCAACCAGAGGATTTTCCTAACTGAGATGGAGCAAGAGTTTGTTACTTTTAATTTGGACAGGACAGGTATAACTCTGGCCAGAAGTGTCATTGAATTAGACATCTGCACGTTTCGCCCAAACAACTAAACAACTGTCCCACCACCTGTTCCTGGAATGGGTGCCCGCCAGTCATCCTGTCCCTGCTTTGCATGGATCCAGACCTAGCCGTGTTTTCCTGCCCTGGGTTGCCTTTTCCCTGTGCAGGGATCACTGGGCTGTCCCTGCTGTTTGGTGGCACGTGCCTCTAAAATACCTTGGGAGTACTGGCAGGGCTGTTGTGTGGTGTCAGGTCAAGTGGGCACCGTGTGCCTGCACTGCCTAAAGCTGTGGCAAGTGCTGCAGATTATAGGCCATGGGCAAAGAGAAGACCTCTTATTTCTTATTTAACAGTGCAAGGCTTTCTCCTAAGTGAGAATGAGGGTAATGCTTCTTTCACGTGCAGAAATGCTTGTATCCTCTGTTGGTTTTCAGGAACTCAGGTAGTCTACAGGCTCTAAAACTGGGGCTTTATCCTCAGGAAAGCCAGGGCTTAAATGTTGTTGGATTAGTTGTATTAAGAAGGTACCCACTGTAGCTTCTGCCTATCACCAGTGTGTGCCCATCTTGACATGTATAGGAGGGTCTGGTCTTGAGGGAGTCGATGTTCATCTCTCCTGGAGAGACCATCATGTCAGTGGGCGTCTAAACTTGGACTCACCAGAAATCTCGTCCAGGTTTTTAAAATCTTGGGCCGTGGAAGATTTTTTTTTTTCTTATTTTTCTGCTACACATTTAAAACAGCACAACACAGGACTAGCACACCATCCTTCCTTTTACAGGGATATTTTTCCTTCCAAACAAAAGGATTGCCTGTGCTGTTTTGTTCTGTGCAATGCTGATCATAAGAGCTCGCTGATCAAGAAGCCGAGGTGCGCTGGCAGAGCTCTTGCCTCTCACCAAGCCTGGCTGTTCTATATTTAAATGTCTGCTAGTTTCTTGCCTAATGTTAGCACCCTTACCTGGGTGTGGCATGTGTGTGTATCTGCCTTTGAAAGAGGCTTTGAACCAAGCTCATCAAAACCAAGGTGGGGAGAGTTAGAGGAGCACAACTCCGCTTGGGCCTGGCCCCACGCGAGTCTGCTGGTCCTGAGCTGAAAGGAAGATTTTTTGAGGCAGACCAAGGATGCTGCTCCAGCCATGCCAGAGAAAAGCTGAAAAGCTTCAAGCTGGAGTCATCCTGGTGGGGTGTGTTAGCAGCTCTGTCGCTGTGGGGTCCTTCTGAGGGGGACGTGCAGCTGCCCTTCTGCAGTGCCCCGGTGTGTGGCCATGGTCTGGCTGCCCAGCGATGTCCCCTCTGTTCAGACCAGTCTCAGCCTCAGACTGTTCATACCAGAGGGTTCCTCCTGCTCTCTGACACCAGGGGAGGACAAGCTGGAGGAGCCAAATGTCAGGTTCAGCGTGCAGGGGGTCACGCAGCACTGTGGAAGCAAGGAAAGTCTCTTCCTCCCTGATAACTCCCCTTCACCTCCAGACTAAAACTTCTGTGAGATCAAAGGGAAAGTGGTGCCGAGCTGCTGTCTGCTGTTATGCAAATGAGACTTTATCTCATGGCTTTCCCATGAACCCCAAAAGATGTGTGCAGCAGAGCACCCTCAGTGCACGTTAACTGGCAACCAGCAGCAGCACAGCGGAACGGTTTCCTTACAGCTCACAGAATTTGCATTGTATTAAAATAGTTCAGATTTTTTTTCACTAGCATTGTCTTCTGTTGCCCCCCCCCCCCCATTTCTGCTTCAGGCAAAAACTGAGGGCTGAATGCTGACTAAACCAATTGGGCTGAGAAAAGCCAGGGTTTTAATCTTGAGCCTGCGAAGCCAGGAGGGCCCTCTCAGGGCAAATAAAACCCATGGCGAGGTTTTCGCTCTGACTGAGCTCACACAGGCTGCCTAATCAGGAGCTGATACCGGCTCAGTTGTGCTGTGGGAAAAGCCTCTGGTCAAAGGCACTTGGATCCTTTCTGGTGTAAGAAAATGGGGGAAAATCCACGGGAACATGAAGGAGTGGGAGACAGCAAAGAGGAGGCGAAGGAGATGCAGATGAGATGCCTGTGACATTAGTGAGATCAGCAGTAAATCCGAGGAGACATATGGAATCACAGAGGGTTTTATGGTTAGGGCTAATTTTTTATGGGGTTGTAATAAGCACAATAACTTGCCGTAAAGTAATTTTTACAGTTATGCAAACCATATTTCATCTTCTAATTAAAAATGAATGGGGTTTTTTTCAGATCACAGGGAGGCTTTTCTAATGGGGAAAATATTCCAGACCAGCATATTTATCTGTGACTTCTACTACTAGGAAATTTTCCTTCTTCCAATATTTAGTGGTTATTTAGAAATATTTTGAAATTCTTCTGCCTGTCTGAGGATCACCTTTTTTTTTTTCCTGACCCTTTATTTGGAATGTTTGACACAGTGTGCGCATGGAGGGTAGACAGAGCCTAACTGGGGTGAAGGGAAGGAATGGGGCTGCTAAAGGGAATTCCCACTGGTCAAGCCACCCCTGCACCACAGAGCATGTTCCAGCCTTGACTGCAGTAAGACAAGTGGTGGTGATGATGGAGAATTGCTGCTCCCCATAGCCCTCCCTAATTGTTTGTCCTTCCTTCAATGCAGTTGTAATTGGATGCCAAAGTCTCCTTTGTCCTACAATTCATAGAAATCCTGACTCAGTAACACCTCTGGGAAATCCCATCACCTGTCTGTCTCAGCTTCTTCATGTGTAAGACAAGTGTTTGTAGTTGGTGAAGTTGGTGAACTAATGCCTCCCAAACTCTTTGAAGAAGGAGTTTTGCAGACCAGCTTATTTTCAGTTGCATGGCCCAGTGCAAAACTGAAGCCTGTCCCTCTTTGCAGGCTGCTTTACCTTGGTAGAAATTCCAGGAACATAAGTGAACTAGCAGCTGGAAGCTTGTTTGGAAGGGGTCATGGGAAGCCTGTGGAGTTGCAGCTGGACTGAAGCTGTGCTGAAAATATGCTCTTCCCAATTGGATTAGGCTAGTTCAGAAAAATAAGGTTTTATTCTCTAGCAAGGGTGTCTTCAAGAAGGTTTTGATGCAAGTGTATCAGGTTAATTATTGTTAATTAGCTGTTCCTGTAACTGTCCAGAGGAAGTGAGCCCTCAGTCATTTAGTCTCTTTTGAAAATGAAAATGTTGTCTTTAACTGCCTGGTAGTCACAGGGTGTGATTATTCACACAGCATTGTTTTTGCTCCTGGACCTCACCTGGAGCTCTGGGAAGGGGAGAATTTGCAAACACTACATAAAAATCACCGTGGTGTTTTCGCCCATGCTGTTTGCATACAAAGGCAGTGGCTGCTTTAGAGAGCTAAAATCACCTGTGTGCTGTGCATGAATGTAAACATGGGCCAGTCTAAATGCTTTTCCCAGGAAATGTTGAGCTGGGAGGACTGTGGCCTCAGCTGAAGCACACAGGTCAGGATTTAGAGACTTGCGACTCCAGCTTTGGAGTTGTTCCCCATCTCTGTGGCCAAACTGATTCTCACCTGGCAGAAAAGGGTGTTTCAATCACGGTATTTTTCCCTTCTTGTCTTCCAAATGTCAGCGAAAGAACATCAGTGAGGATCCAGCTCTGTGCTTTGGGAATTTACACCTTCTGGATCCCTTTGTGCTGAAGCAAAAGGTGGGGAAGGTCTGTGCTGTGGGTGCTGGAGCTGCCATTCCCCACATCCTGCACAGCTGAATAACGACTCCTGGAGCTGCCTCCTCCTCTGGAGGATCAGACAAATCCAGAACGAGTTGTCTTTCCAGAGAGGTGGAGTTCCTTAGGCTGCTGGCTTGATTTTTGTGGCTGTGAGTGCTGCCTTGGTTGTACGTAGTTTTCTTTTGGCAACCTGTACCTGTGGTGGGATAGATAAGTAACAATACATTGCTGGAGCCACCTGACATTTTGTTTCCCCACCAAAAAAAACTGGTCTCTTCAGTTTTCTGATCCTGATTTCCCCTCCTACAGCCAGCCTGCTCTGGAGAGCTCTTTGGGCTCTGTTTTGTTTCCCGTGTTCTTGTGCACACATTTACACACACAGCAACTACAGGGAAGGTGTTCAGAGTAATATCAGTGCACCGGTGCCCCCATTATTAACTTTCACATTGTAAAAGAGTTACAGCAGGGAGTTTACAAGGCATTTTCAGTTCGGGTTAACTATTACAATGTAAGTTTAATTGCATTTATAATTGACTTGAGCCTCAGCTAAGGCTGGTCACAGGCACAGTAAAGGTGATCCACCCACCTCAAGCATCCTGCAGGACTTTGGTTTGTAAGCAGCAGCTGGGATTTTCTTTACCCCAGAAGGTTATACCATTGTGACCAAACCCTTTTAAACAATCACTCCTAGAAACCATAGAATTGCTTTGATTCAAGCAAGGGTTGGGTTTTTTCATTAGCTTAAGGTAACTGAGAAGATTTGAGCCAACTTTTTAATATCTTGGCACCGAGGCCACCAGCAGCATCCTGGTTATTCCAGTTCCTTTTTGCTGCCTCTTGGGCAAGTGGAGGGCCAGATCATGGTGGCATTCCCATGTCACCTGCAGCCAGGGGCTGTAATCCTGCACCCTCCATACAAGCACTGCTGTCTGCAATGGAAAGGAAAGGTCAACACAGTGAGGCCAAGACTTGTTTTCCAGACAAGGATATTGTCCCTCACTACAAGGGAGATCCCAGGCAGGTTAAAAGATGGCTGCTGGGATGTTTTATGCAGGCAATAACTTAAATCCTCACAACCTGTCCCCCTTAGTTATTGTTTAAAAAGCTTGCTCTCTCTTATTTCTTTAAGGAATAATAATGGACCTGTTAAGCTGGAGAGAGAAAACCTCCCCCTCATTCAGAAAGTAGTGCCAGAGAGAAAGAGAGAGAGAGCATATTGGCTTTTAGGAGAGATATTTAGTCATTGTTCTCTGCAGAAGGCTGGCAGGGAACATTGCAAAGTTCATTTCCGAATCAGAGGAGCGTGTAAAGACTGCTTGTTTTATTCACTACATTAATCGTTCTTCCCATATTACTCATAATATTAAAACACCCAAGTCACTTCCCTGTGTACCAGAGGCATTTAGCTGCCAATTTTCAAATAATCGTAAATTGAGTGTGTCTGTTCCAGGCAGCCAAAACAAGCTGGGTGAGATCATGAGTGTGTGTCTGTGCCCGTGGGTGGAGGGGGGAAAGAGGGGCTGCTGGGGTGGGGGGAGTGGGTAAGGGAAACATCTCCAAAAGAGAGAAGAGGATAATGGTTCTTATTTTTTATCTGCTTCTGGGTTTCTCTACAGTGTATCCTATCCTTCACCTGCCACTTTTAATTTCCTTTTTCTGCAGCTGAACGTGGCAGAGCTTTTCCAGCAGTGCCTCTCTTTGCTGCTGTGTTACCTGCATTTTGAATCTCTCGGTGGACAGTGGTGGGTTTACCTCCCACCCCAGTCCTGAGCTCCCAGCAGGCACTGAAAGGGACTGTTTTACCTGGGAAAAATAGTCTGAGGGGCCTGAGGGGCCCAGGCACACTCTGCTGCTTCCTGGCACAGCTCCTGCAGTGACATCCCCTCGAAGGGGGAGCAACCCCATGTGGCTGGATGTGGCCCTGGAGCTGACACCAAGCCTGAAGGGAGCCTACAGAAAGATGGAGAGGGACTATTTACAAGGACATGTGGTGGCAGGACAAGGGGGAATGGCTTCAAACTGACAGAGGGCAGGGTTAGATTAGATGTTAAGAAGAAATTCTTCCCTGTGAGGGCGGTGAGGCCCTGGCACAGGTTGCCCAGAGAAGCTGTGGCATCATCTTTATGTTACACACGGGGTAAAGTCAGACAGAAATAACTTCATTCCCACCACTGGCACTGACTGGGTCACTTCACTAAGAGCAGTCATGTTGGAATTCATGTAGCAGTACCACGGGCAGTGGAGCAGATAAAAGCTGCTTTTTTTTGAGTTAGTGTCAGGGAGCTATAAAAGCATCTGTGTGCATGTCAAATAAAGGCTGAGCTCACCCTGCACAACGTTCTCAGTCGCTAAAAGATGCTCCTTCTACCCCAGCTGAAACCTAAAAGACCTTAATGTTTTGGGGACTTCCATTCCATAGTTAAATGTGGCAGAAGTTGCTAAGCAGTTACAAGAGTGGAGGAGTGTTTGAGGAAAGGGGGTGAGCTGACAGATGGAGGGACTGTGTGAGTCTTCTTTCCTTCTGGAGTCAAAACTGTGAGGCTAAAAAAGGTGGCACTGGGTTGGGGAAGGACGCTTCTCCTGGTGCTGGAACAGGTTTAGTCTCACTTTTCTCTGGCGCTGCTTCACCTTTGTCCTCAGACCCACGCTCGGTGAATTAGGGCGATGTGTCACCACACTAATTGTTTTCAGTGCATTTCAGGAGCATTTCAGAGCTTCCTTTTGAAGCACACACTCATTTCAGTCATCCTTTGAGGTGCAGTCTTGTTGAGGTCAGGGCACCATTCAGTGTCTCTGCTTCAGCATGTGAATTTTTGTCTTTCAGCATCCTAGAATTCTTAGGGCGGGTGGCCAGAGACAGTGTCGGGTGTGTGGGTTTGTACTGAGCTAGAGAGTTCTGTGATCTCAATCCCGTCATTGGTTGCACCTGATTGCACCAGAAAGTCATCACCTCTGGGCAACATCTGCCTCCAGAACAGTTACAAATGGCACTGAAAGCGAAAATGGAGCATTTTTGCAGGACAGATGGTTGGCCTGCGCTGAGCACGTCGCTTCCTCTCCTGCTGTCCCCCTTAGAAACTCTTAACCTGTAGTTCTTCCAGCACAGCCTTGCCTTTCCTTTAGCTGAAGTGTAAATCTTTGAGAAATGACTCAGTGGTAATAGGAAACAGCCTTTGTAACCAATTGCCCCGTTTCTGTTGTTCCATTTTCAAAAATGAATGAGAGATGGGTTAAATGGACTTAAAATTCATAATTATCTAGTGCTTGTGGGGGGTTAAGAACCAAAAATTCTTGAATTACATTCTAGAAAAGGGATGCTATATTTAGGGATAAAAGTTCAGGTACAGTGTCTAGCCTGTAGAAATGATGATTTGTTGATAATGAAATCAAATAACCACAGCTCAGACAAATATATGCCAACAATGCTGGGAATATCATCACTGATATCTCTAGTGAGCCACGGAGACAAAACCACATTTCAAAATACTTCAAATATACTTAATATGCAAACATATTAAAAGTTACACTTTAGATTCTTAAAATACCTAAACTATATAGGCCTAAGTTTTCTGAAATTACTGATTTCAGATGTGCAACTGTTAAAGCTACGAAATTGGAGCAGAACAAAAAGAGCTGATTTTCAAAGGTGTCATCTCTTTTCCAGGCAATAATTCCCTTTAGGGCATGGATGGGGTACCATAAGTCAACTATGACTTCTAAAAAGGTCCTGCAGTGTCTAGAAAGAAATGTTAAGCTCACTGTGGAAGCAACACCCTGCTGAAATGTTTTTGGGTGCTGATGTCTCCTCGTGTCCTCTTGCAGCATCCACAATGGAGTGATAGCGGTGTTCCAGCGCAAGGGTCTCCCGGACCATGAACTCTACAACCTCAACGAAGGAGTCAGGTAAGAGACTCCACTCTGGTAGGGTGTTATTGGCAGCACTTGCACTGTAGAGCTCCTGCAGCAGTATTAAGGTGTTTTTTTTTTCCCCCCCAGTGGTGGTTTTTGAGTCAGTTTGGCCCCGGTGAATCGTTCTTGCTGACGTTGTGTCGACACCTCGCCGTGCTCTGAGAGCTGGGCTGGGTTCCTCCTGCAGGAAAGAATCCAGCCAAGAGGAGGAGGAGGGTTTATTTCTGGCTTGATGTACTGGTTTAAAACTGAGGAAGGGAAAACCTGGACCCCTCTAGTGATGCAGCCCTGTTCCACTGCAGTGATGCTGCCATTTCCATAGGCCAGGCCTGGCTACGAGGTGCTTCCCTTGCCTCCAAGCACTCAGTGGGACATGGCAAGGAAAGATGTGCTGCGTGGTGGTCCCTTGGATTTAGCTGCTCCTTCCTCACAGCCTGAATATGTGTAGAAGTTATTAAGGTGTCTTGTTATAACCTTAACATTGGTTAAGGTTCCTATTTCCTTCTCATACTGTGATGGCACTGTTTCCAGCAGACTAAATGCACACCAAGAGGTGTATAATGGGACATTTTTTTCTTTTTTTTTTTAAAAAAGGGGCAAAAATCCTACCATTCAAGTTATTTCAGTTATAGTTGAAAAGTTTACCAAGAGATAAGCTGATATCTGGATTTACAGCACTTCACTTTTTACTGCTTTTTTAGCACTTGGTATTGCTCACCAAACCCTCTCTGGCTGGCAAGGGCAGGGCAGCAGATTTTCTTTTAGAAATTTGTCCCAGTGCTTTGTAAAATAAATAGTGGAGGAGAATCTGCACTTACAAAAAGACAGACAGCTTATTGCACTCCCTGACTGTCTTCAGATAAGAGCCTCAGTTATTCCCTTTCCCTTACTGCTTATTCCTACTCTGTCTGGGCACTGGAGTCTGACAAAATCCCCACAATATCCAGATATTCTGGGTTTATCCGTCCCTGTCTGGTTCCCAGTCTGTGGTAGCTGGCCTTTAATTGTGGGAATACCTTCAGAGAAGTCCAGACAAATGGCATTGGGCCTGTGTTCACTCTTTTTCCCTCTCTCTTTGTCTTTTTAAAATGAAAAGAAACTTACTCAGTTATGTCTTACTTCTCTGGAGAGAAGATGACATCCAAAGAATAGCTTCTCTAGGATGGCTGTCAGTCAGCCTGATCCTTCAATCATGCTGAGGTAGTTATTGGGATAATGGTTAATCATCATTATTGTAAGTGCAGTTAGGATTCTTCAGCTTTATCTGAATGACAAAAAGCAGTAGTTCTGGGCTGAGATTTCCTGGCCCAGTGCTCATCTGCTGGTGGGGGAATTGTCTGCTGCTGTGACAGAGGCTGATGGCATCTTGTAGGAACCAACAAATAGAAGACAGATAGAACTGTGCCCAAATTTGGCTTGAATTTACCTAAGTGTAAACCCTGCACCGTACAAAATTGTTGTGTTGAATTTATTGCAGCTGAACGGGCAGCTGACTACAAATAAACTGATTTTTAGGGTTTTTTTTCCCATATCCAGCCACAGCCTCTTTCCAGAAGCTGCTGCACTCCTGCTGTGCACTTCATTTTAATCCACAATGTTTTAGAACCTCCTAACTAGTTGCAACCAAAGCCCTTTTGCCTCACTTAAGTTCAGCTCAAAACCAAGCTAAGAAATTACTGATCTGACACGTGCCAAAAATAACCTGTCCCTCTGCTACTGCTATTTATTTCAAAATAGCTTTCTTTGGGTTCATGTTACTATTGAGTGCAAAAATATCTGATTCATTAGCAAGACCTCAGAAGTGGAACAAGTGTATACTTGCCTTACGATTGTTTTTGCATTTTCCCCTCAACTACATGATGAAAAAAGAAACACACAGCCATTATTTTCCACTTGGCAGCACTCAGGTAAATGGTTAATATTAGTTAGTTACTTTTCCTAACAGTTACAGGACAGTAAAAGGTGTTATTTTATTTTACCACTTTAATTACAGCAGATTCTGGAATACTTTTCATAATATAAACCCCTGAATGTCCAAGTTGACTCCCAGCCTGAGTGTAAATATTTGAACAATATTTGCTCACCATTGTTTTGACTCAGGAATGTCACTTATATTGTTCTGACATACGTGCAAATAAATACACAAAACTTCCTTTTCTGAGCACACATCTCAAGGCTTTGAACCCTGATGGTTTAAGAAAACATCAGTGGGTACAAATCTGTACAGCACCACTTAATTTTCTTCTAGATTTGGCTCATAAGAACTGCCACTTGTCTGTACCTTTTGACACTATTCTTGCATTCCTTTGGTGTTAGAAAGTGGCCTTAAATGTGGAGTTTCACAGCACTCAGAATCCCTATTGCCAGTAAAACCAGTGTGGGATTTGAGTCTCTCTCTCACACTGCTGTAACTTTTGATCCAAAAGCCAGGCAGTAAAAATCTACATTCACATATGTACTGTTTAGTTTTCCCTTGGTGCAAGTGTGTGATGCTTGTAGCCCAAGAGTGGTCCTTTTTTATTTCATGTACCATTTCAAAGTGTTTATTTTGGCCACTTGTAAAGCAAGGAAGAAGAGGAAGGAAAAGGAAATGCAGTGGAAGCAGGATGTCCTGTATTAAAGCTAATACATATTTATAGCTGCCTCTTTTCTGAGTTTCAGGATACTGATTTGATGCAAACAAAGCACATTTTAGTGGCATTTCCTCTTTAGCAGCAAGAGTTCAAACCCAGTCAAATCACTTGTTTCCACGTGCTTCATTTCACTGTATTGAATAGTTATTACACAGTGTTACTCTTTCCATTCTGAGTAATGTTGCAAGAGTTAATTTCAAAATGAACCAAAAGAAGCAGCTGCAGGAAAAAAAATGGTCATGAGCTACTTTAGCATGTTTTATGTAAATTTATATTTTCATCTTATTTATTAAATCATTAGATAGGCAATGAAGACCTGATGCCAGTGACAGACAAGCTTCATAAGAGTGGCTTAAAAATGAGATGTACTTGAAATGAGCCCTGCAGTCTGGTCAGGGATCTCTTTCAGGTTTAATCAGATTTTCCCCTGGATTCCACCATGGTGTCCACACATCTAAGGTTGGTCAGTAATTGGAATTATCCAGGATCTGACTGATTCCTGTTAAACGAAACGAAGCAAGGGTGAAAAAGAAATCACAAGCAATGCCTTGGATCCAGTTTTGTTGGGGATCCCTTTCAAATGAAGAACATCAAACCCCAGTGTTGTGATCTGGCCTGAGGGCCTCACTGTTTCACTAGAAATTAATTAAATAGCTGGAAGTACCTGTGTTATTAGGGATTCAAAAAGCAAGATGCATTAATGGTGCTGTCAGTTCTCCTGCCCTGCAAACAGAGATGTTCTGTGGCCATGGTGCTTGGTGTGGTGCAGTCCAGTGCATGTCATTAACTTCAAAAAGGTTTTTTAGTTCATTCACAGCTGAAAGAATGGACATGTGCTGGGGTTTTGTTTTATCTGTGTATCTATTTGGTTTATCTATTTGGTTTATGTCTACTTATTGCTGGATAAGTAGAACTTTTTTTTGTTTTTTTTTTAATTTCCTGCCCTAAATGCCAGGAATTATCAGTAGAACCTAAAATATGAAAAGAGAAGGTATTTGCAAGACTGTGTGCAAGGCAGTGAGGAATCCAGGTGGAGCTGCCAGCTTGAGGAGGGGGTAGGAAGTTAAGCAAATGTCAGCAGAGAGTATCAGCATTTTTTTGAAACAGTGACACGGAGAGATGCCTGGGAATAAATTCTCTCTTGCAGGAGAATTTAAAACTGCAACTTCCCTGTTATTTTAACCTAAAAATAGTTTCTGTATCCATGTTCAAAGCAAGATGAACCTTTAGTGCCATTGCAAGCACATGCCAGGGGGTCTGGCAACCCAGTGGCTCTTCATGGCAATGAGAGACCTGTGGGTAAAGCCTGAGCTGGGTTTTAGAATTCTTGTCTGCAGATAGTTTGTCTTAATCAATCAAGTTTCAAGCTGAAAAGGATTTTGATGCCTCTGAGCATCCAAAAACCCCTCTTCTTTTTGTTTATTTTTTCTTTCATTTCTGCCTGGAGTGTTTCCACAGGGTGCTGTGTGGTCAGTGTGGACATGTGCTTAAGGATAAATAAATCAGATACTCTATTTCAGCCTCCCAGAGACTGACCTGCTCCTCTTTGCCCTGAACTTTCAGGAGCTCTTGAGAGGCTGTGCCAAAGCATCTGTTGTAAAAACATCAGAACCAGCTCCTGCAGACCTTCATGGAATTGTCTCTTTGTTTGCTGGTAAAATAATTTGATTAAGGAGTTATTTGTCAGTTAAAGACATAACACAAAGAGATAGATGACAAGCTACTGAAAGTAGAATTTCATTACTGCCCTAATTACAGCGGGTGTTTGGATTTTAAATCAAATTTGACCTCATTTCTTCATGGGACCTGAGGTGGTCACACAGACAGGTTTTCAAAAGAGCTGCAGGCCAGACTTGTTCAGAAAACCCAGCTGGGGCTGCATTTCTGTAAGGCCTGAGCTGTCATTTATGCATTTAAATAGTGACCTGGCTGCAGAGAACTAATATGTGAGGCTTAAATAACATTCAGCTTTTTAGCAATGTAGTGAAATTTTCCCTGGATGCAAACAGTGAGCTCATGGACTGGACTGAATTGAATTTCTGGATTTGAGGGTTGTTTGTGGGATTTTTTTTTTTTAGTTTTGTTTGCTCTTCAAAGTTGCTTTGTAGGTTTGAGTCGGGAGGGATCATGAAAGGCAGAGCTAAACTGTTCAATTCCTGCAGGCAGAGCTAAACTGTTCAATTCCTGCCTGTTTTTTCCCTGAAACCATAGAAAACTTAAATTGTTGAGTCTCCTGAGTGGAAAATCGTGGCCCTTTCAATGACAACTGACCAAGTTTCACACCAGCAACAAAACACACAGAGCATCACCCTGCTGCAGGTTTCTCTCCAAGTGTTTTTTCACAGCTCTGTATTTCACCCTTAAGCAGGACAGGGATGATTTGGCTCTTTGAAGACGACAGACAAGTCAGTTTTTGGCTCAGAGCCACAGGTGGTCAGAGGTCACCAGGAGTTCTCCCATGTCACCAGGCACCAGGGAAGCCCTGGCACTGCAGGGGAACAATTTCAGGATTCCTAAAAGGATTGGACGTAGGATGGAAAGCATCCTCTTTTCATCAAGTCTTAAATTTCCTTTCCTGGGTGTTTGTGCAACTGAGCCATCCAAAACCACAGCAGATATTTTCCAACACACAGAAAGGCTGGTTGGGAGTCTTGTATTTGTTGACCCTGTTGGCCCTTTTTGCAGTTGGTCATTATTGACAGGCTCTGGGCTCATACAATAATATTTTGCTGTCAGTGACCTCCCCTCTCTCATGCAGTGCACAGCTGATCACACGGATTCTTTTCTTACTCTTTTCAATACAGGCAATTACTGAAAACAGAACTGGGATCCTTTTTCACTGAATACCTGCAGGTAGGCACGTGCTTGCTTTATTTAAATCCAATGTTGTTATATGCTGCTGAGCAAAATCATGTCACCCACTCTAAATGCTGATCTGGAGACCCTTGAAACCATTCAGAGATGTGCACTGGCTTCTCTGAGTTTTTGTCATTTATGGGCTAGTAAGATTTGGATTTTATATATAAATATATGTAATTAGATAGTGAAAGCCTGAGCTGCCCCTGTATTTCCATATGACATTGCTGTCTTTCAGTAGATTTCACACATTCTCTTTTTTAACTTAAATTTCAAGTTCCTGAGTGAACCAGTGAAGTTCCTTGTAGTACAGTTGCTAGGAAAGACATTTAGCATTGAGCACCACTGTCTGTTTTTGAAGAAATATTCCTTTTGCTTCTCTAAGATAGAGTCCATGTTTTGTGGGTCATGTTTTGAAGTTTGAGAAGCACTTTGTACTGCACAAAACACATGCTGTGTCCTGAAAACATCATCATTTGACAAGTGTCCCAGGTGATTTAAGCAGGATGGACACAGGAGGAGCCCTCTGATGATTGATCATTAAAATAAAAGATCCCCCTCATTGTCAAAGGTTAGGAATGAACGAAATGTGAAATGTGATGGCTGCAGGGAAGTGCAGAGTTGAGTAAAGGTAGTCTATATTTTATTTACAGAATCAGCTGCTCACAAAAGGCATGGTGATCCTAAGGGACAAGATCCGGTTTTATGAAGGTAACTTGGCTTTTGAGCTGTGTCTGTCACAGGAGTTCTAGCAAATGCATTCTGGAGGCAGTGGGATGCTTTCCATTATCTTCTTGGGACTATGGATTAGCCTGTAGGAATCCATTCCTACAGCCTGTTGTGTCCTGCCTCGGTGTTCTCATGAGCTTTCATCGAGGGGAGGTGATTGCCTGGAGCAGCATCCAGGGGGGAAAGGAAGGATTGCCTCCTTCAGTTATAGCCTGCTTTTAATGCTCAGGAAAAGTGGAAAAACAGACTGAGATCTCTTAGGAAACAAAAAACTGAGCAGGAAGATCCCAGTTAGTTGAAGTATCTCGGTCCAGAATAATGCTGTAGGTTGTTTTAAGAGCTTCCATAAATGAGGCAAGACACTGTCTCTTTTTCAGCAGTCACTTTATTTGAGTGTCTGCACCGTCTGGAGGTGTCACCTTATGGCAGTAGATGTGAAGGATAAACCTCCACCTGATGGGATTTTTGTGTCCTGTGCTATTAAGTGGCATTTAGATGTGCTGTTAAATATGCCAGGTTGTGCCAGGGGAAGTTTAGATCTGATATTGGGAAAAATCTCTTCACCAGAAGGGTTGTTGAGGCATTGGAAGGGGCTGCCCAGGGAAGTGGTTGAGTTACCAACCCTGGAGGGGTTTAAAAGGTGGAGATGTGGCACTTGGGGACGTGGTTTCCTGGTGGCCTTGGCAGTGCTGGGGGAATGGTTGGACTTGATGATCTTCAGGGTCTTTTCCAACCTCAGTGGTTCTCTGATTTTATACATCATCAGGTGTGAAGTGGTTTGGGAGTATCTTCAGGAATTATTCCCCATGTAAACAGCCTGAAGACCTTTGGGAAATTAAGTTGGATTTTAAAGAAATGCACCTCTCCTTTTTCAAAGCTGCAGTCATGATATCACTTAGTTTAAATAAACTGCTCAAGCAGTGGCTTGGAGACAACCATTTCCATTAGTCTCAGCTCTCTTTAAATCCTGGATGTGACCTTTCATTGCTGACAGTACCACTGATCAGATTAAGATGGTGCTATGGGACCCAGCTTTCCTGATGAAGAGACAATAGCCCTGAACACCACAAAAAGAGAACCAATTTCACATTAAAAACCCCAAAACCCACAAAAAGAGTACTGAAACTCTTCAAGCTGAACACCAAAATCCTGAGTGGTATAAAATAACAACTTGGAGAGCACAAGGGGAGCTGTAAGGATCTCGAGGCCCTCACGGCTGCTTTGTAAATCACAAAGAAAGTTGGATTTTAAGTATCAAATCAGCAAATGACAGACCAAGCAAGGTCCAACCCTATTTTTTTTCTGATTTTACCAGCTTGAAAATCAAAAATACTCTATCTGATGTTTGAGATCAAAGCTGAGATGAAAAACTGAAAAGCCAGACCACTGAAGGGCTTCCAAATATAGGAGCGTGTTTAGGAAATACAAAATTTCAGCAAACTGTTGACTTTAAGCTTATGTTGTTTTTTTTTGGATTTAGTGTGTCATTTTGTGGTTGCCCCCTTAAAATATGGTCAGAAATTCTGTTAAGGTGGGGATTAAACAGGGACACCTTCCACTAGCCCAGGTTGCTCCAAGCCCTGTCCAACCTGGCCTTGGACACTCCCAGGGATGGGGCAGCCACAGCTTCTCTGGGCAACCTGTGCCAGGGCCTCACAAGCCTCACAGGGAGGAATTTCTTCCTTATACCTAATTATTTATTCTTGCATTTCTTTCAGGAGTTTCAGTTAACTTTTAGAAGCCCTGTGAAAAGTGATGCATGCATTTTTTATGTCATACAATATTGATTATAATTGTGCTTCGTTAAAACGAGCATTTAGAGTAACCCAGTTTCCTGGAATCCAGCAAATGCTTATGGTAAATGTAGGGATCTTTGCCTGATAGTAAAAAAAAAGATATATTTTTGAAAGGACATGTAAGTCCTGTTCCTTCATGTGAAATCATCAGCAAACCATAGGAATTCTTCCACAGCCCTCCACAAAAGGCCTGCCTGCCTAAGGCATTTAACTCTGCAGCCTTTCTGAACTGCAGCCTTTCCATCACTTCACAGAACAAGCTGCCTACAAGGTGGAATAAGTGTGTGACAGTAAAGGCACGTTTACCTCACCAGGGTAGTTTGACTTCATACAATTCTAGCAGCAAGATTTTTAAAGGACCAGATTTGCAAGGGCTTCGTTTCTGCTTAACCACAACTTGTGGGCAGCTGTCATGTTTAACTCTTTAAAACCCTGGTTTTAAAGGTTTTTAAGTGGTTGGGCTTCTCCTTCATCATCAGATTTGTGTCTTGCAAACACTTCAGTGTTTCAGACACTGGTAGGTGGGTGTTAAAATGCAAAGGTGTTGTCGTTGTTTAACCCCAGTTGCAGCTCAGCCCCACAGGGATGCTCTCCCACCCCCCTGATGGGATGGAGGAGATGGAAGGGTAAAAGTGAGAAAACTTATGGGTTGCAGTACAGAGAGTTTATTAGGGAAAGCAAAAATTTTGCATGCAAGCAAAGCAAAACAAGGAATTCCTTCCCCACTTCTCGTGGTTTGTCAGCGGTTCAGCATCTCCAGGGGAGCAGGGCCCCATCACACACAACACTGGCTTGGGAAGATGAACACCATCACTCCAAACATCTCCCTTCCTCCTTCTTCCCCAGCTCTGTGTGCTGAGCATGACCCCACCTGGTCTGGGATGTCCCTGTGCCCAGCTGGGATCAGCTGTCCTGCCCTGTCCCGAGTCCTTGTGCCCCCCAGCCCCTCGCTGGTGGGGTGGGTGGGGAGCAGAAAAGACCTTGGCTCTGTGCAGGCCCTGCTCAGCAAGAACTAAAAGATCCCTGTGTTACCAGCACTGATCCCAAAGCACAGCCCCTACCAGCTACTGGGAAGAAAATTGCCTTAGCCCAGCCCAAAACCAGCACAGGTATTTATTATTATTATTATTATTACTGCTACAGCTCCCGGGAAACTTTGGACTTGGTTCCCTGCTGTGTTTCATTAGAATTATTGGAAGAGAAGTTTTTTGAAAGTTTTAAAAACCTGAAACAGAGAACAACACCCTCTTCAGTGCTGCAGATGAGTGTGTAGGACAGAGAGAACTCCTGCCTGGTGGTGCAGAAATGAGGCCCTTGGCGTGCTGCACAGGGCAGCAGCTGCAGCACAGCCTGGTGATCCACATTTGTCACTGAAAGCACTTAAAGTCAGCAGCCCAGGAATAATTCAGGAGTTGCAGATGGGCCAGAGCTGATGCTGTTCGTCATGTGCTTAAAAATGCAGGGGGATCAAGTATCCCATAATCAAGATTGGCACTTGGCTAAAGCACTGGAGGTGCTTTCATGCATAGTTGCTTTGTGATTTGTGTGTAATTCTGGGCAAAATGTTCCCTGGCTGAGGCCCAGAGCGATACAAAACTTAAGAATAGTATCTGATTCTGACACCAGTAGTGATATTGATGGATTGCCATTGAATTTGCTTCCTGATAAGTCATATTGTCTCATCTGAAAGCCTCATAATCATTGATGTGTTCGTCTCCACAGTGCTGGTGGAGGTGCAGGGGCGTTGCTCTCCTTTTGGGGCACAAGGATGGCAAAGAGCTTGTCCAAAAAGTCACAGGGCCATTTTGGGGAGCAGGGATTTGAAACCAGCATCCAGCTGTTGAGACACGTTTCCTCTCTGTGGATCTGGGCTCCTGAGTAACCTCAGAGTCTCTGAGTTTACTAAGAGTTTACTATTAGTTTACTAATTTTATGTGTCACCTTAAAAGACAGAAACACTGAAGGATCTGATCCACCAAAAGGGTACTAATTCCACACTGCTGCCAGTAGCTGTTACGTGATTCATCTTAGTGTTTAATAGGAGATTCACTTTGTTTCCTGCATGTTTTACTCTTGGCAGTGAGCTGGTCACAACCTAAACACTTCACGAGTTTGTTCTGTGTTTTTGCAGGGCAGAAACTACTGGATACCTTAGCTGAAACCTGGGATTTTTTCTTCAGTGATGTCCTGCCCATGCTCCAGGCTATTTTCTATCCTGTGCAGGTGAAAAATTACTCTGTTGCTGTAGAATCTTGAAAAACTAGAAAAAGCAGCGTTACTGGTTCGTCAGCAGATTGATGCAATCCTTCATTCCCTCTCCTTGGGCCAACCTCCCAGTGCAGCTGTTCTGTACAGTCATGTCATGCAAATAAGTTCCTTATGCAAATGGGTTTGAAGTGCTTGGGTGGAAAATGTGAAGGGGAACTTTGCAAACAAAAGTGGAGTGCAGGGGGGCTGGTTAGTCCTTCTGCCAATTCACACTAAAAGCGGAAAAAAAAGGGTTGTGACTGATAAACTGAATTATGCACACCATGAAATAAGTGGAGCTGTGTGGACTTAAATATATGCATTTCCTCCTCTGCACTGTGAATTTGTTCCTGTAGTGTTTCCACTTTTGAAAAGGAATTATATTTCTGAGATCAAATCCCGTGCTGCTGGAAGGGGACAGCAATAGTCAGTGGAATTAGACCAGTTTGGATGAGCACAGATTTTGACTCCAGTAATTTTAAATCCCCCATAGATTGATCTGCTTTGGGTGAAGGCTCAATCTTCTAAGTTACTGGTGGCCACAAAGTGTTGTTTATCACTGAGGTCCCAAGGAGATCTGTACCAGAGAGTCTGGTACATAGATGCCTTCAGATTTTAGTGGGAGCTTGGTGCCTGAATGTATTTGGGGAAACTTCAGAAACCTCCTCCCATTTTTCCAAGTGAACTTCATGCTTAAAATGAATGCCCAGATATTCACAATATTGCTATTTGCATCTGCAGATAGTGACAGATATATGAAATCTGATTTCAGTGGAAAAGCTGTAACTTCACACAGAATTTGATTCTGAAAGGGTAGAGCTCAAAAAACACAGAGGGCTACTTCACTCATAGACTTGTGTCTTACCAGTAGAAGCTTCAAAACAATAGAAATAAGATGGTATTAAAAACATGCTGAAACACAAAAGGAGGTTTTTCCAAGTGCCCCATAATATAAATCCAAGTTATTTGGACACCTAGAGATACAAGTAGGCTCTCAGCCTGGTTTTCCAAAGCACTTAACTAAATTAGGTTTTGGAAATTGCACTGAACACCCTTTTTCTCTGTTGTGTTTCTGAGGCCTTTGCAAATATTTTAGTAACACGAGTCTCCTCCCCTATGAGATGGAAATAATTACTTGAATTTTCAAAGGAACCTTGAGGGGTAAATTCAAGTAGATCTAGTTGCTGATGTCCTGAGTTTACTTCACAAAGCCCAACTGGTGCTTATGTGCTCTTCTAAATTCTGTTCATTAGCAACAGAAGCAGGTTTGGGGTCTTCTTCAGCATAAATATTAACAAAGTGTTCAGTATAAATATTAACAAAGTGAAAAGGAATGGGTGGGGTTGGGTCAGGCTTCTTTAGTCCAGTCTTAAATAAGTCAACACCATCTAAACACCAGACCTTCCAGAAGTGTTAATATTTGGCCCACAACTCTCACAACAGCGGGTAAAAATATATGTGTACAGCCATATTTACCCAAGGAAAAAACCCTAATGCCAGCAGGAGGAACAGTTTTACAACTCCTCCTAGGGCAGGAGCTGTTAATCTCTGCAGACAGAGGTGCTGGTGTATTCTTTTGTGTTCTTCAGCTGGGAGTTCCTTCAGTGACATGGTGATGTTGAACTGCAAAAAGATGCCTTTGAAAATGCACTGTGAAAGTTCAGCTCTGCTCCTCCTGCCTTGTAGTGAAGTCTCTCAAACTGGAGAGAAAAGAGGACCCACAGGTGGGGCTGAGTCAGGATTCCAGCCATAACTTGAAGACAGTAACCAGCCAGTACTCAAAATCTTAGGAAATAATGGAAATTCAACCAGTTTGCAACCCTACCTTTTATTATTTTTTTCAAACATATGATATGTTTCATTAGTGATATACTGTTAAGCACAAAATATTCATATATATATGAATATATATATAATTCTGTGCTCACCCCAGCCCTTCATCTGCACACACACTCAGTCCTTGTCTTTAGCCTTCCCTGCTGCCAAATCACATTTACTCTGCAGACCCCTAGGCTGCTCCCCGGCCTTTGTTGTGTTTCTTTGGCTTTTCACTTAGGTTTGCCAGTCCTGTGATGGAAGGAGGAAGGAATTTTGACAGAGGATTTTTTCAAACTTGTTTTCACCCTGCCCGTGCTGGGCCTTTGCTCTGTTTGTGTCTGGCAGGGGAAGGAGCCCTCGGTCCGGCAGCTGGCCCTGCTGCACTTCAGGAACATCATCACCCTCAACATAAAGCTGGAAGATGCTTTATCCCGTTCCAGAGCCAGAGTTCCACCCTCTATCATTCAGATGCTGTTAATACTCCAGGTAAATCAGTTGCTTTTCTCAGGTTGTTTTTTTTTCCCCTCTGTCTTTCTGTGCTGCGTTGCTGAATTTGCTTGTTCATTGAAGACTCCTGACCCAGAATTCCAGAACACTCAGCTGTGCTCCTGCTGTCTAAAAGTAGGAGGCTGGAGAGATGCCTTGAGATCCAGAGGGTCTGAGAGCACAGAACAGTTTGTTTTGAAACTGGGGGCCTTGAAACACCAGGTTTTGCAAACAGACCAGGATTTCCATTAAATGCTGGGTTTTGCTGCACTGGCAGTTCAGGATATGAAGCTTCACATCTGGAGCAGGCAGCAAAGTGAATATGCAATTTATGGTTGAATCGTGGTCATATTTGGTCACTGGAACCAAATTCTGTCAGAGCTGGTGATACAAAAATATTAAGACCAGATAGTGCTATTTGCCTTCAGTGTTAGATTGGGTTTTTTTAGTAGTAATGAGGAGAAACAAAATGAGGAATTCCAGGCAAAGATTTTTTTACTTGCTTAATTAAAGAAAAGCATGAGCATGTGATGAGGAGAAGGGGGATGAGGCAGAAGGGAGGCAGAGAACCAGCAGTGGATTTTTAGAGGTTGAGGAAATTGAGATTTTCCTGGCTTGTGATTTTATTTTTTTTAATAAATATGTTTCTTTGCTGTTCACAGTACGAATTAGTTCTGTGTCTGAAATTTTTTTGAACAGCACAGTAATTTAATCAAGCCAGTGATGAAAATGGAGGCAAGGAGTAAGATTCTCTCTGCTGGGTCAAGAAATGGGATTTCACCCCTGTTATCTCAGTGTCCATTTGTTGGAGTGTATAATGGTGTGTTTAACCTGGTTTTGCCATTTTGCCTGTTTAGGGTAAAAGGCCAAATGCATTCTAGTTGCAAAGCTGTTGATGGAAATCAATAACCAAGTGAGAGGGAGTTTGCCCCTGGGTGTTTATTTCTGCATATGTTACCTCTGGTTGTGTGGTGGGGATGGTGAAAGTCCTTTCTTGGAAATTGCTCTGCCAAACTGGTGGTTTAAAATCTAATGGAAATTGTGGGAAAAGGTCAGAAGAAGATCTGGGAATTAGCTATTTACATGCTTAGCAGCGTTAGTCAGTAATTGGATTTCAGAACAAAGGCTTTTTTCCTAACTCAAATGTCACATTAAACAACAGCAAATTTTATACATTTGTGACATAATAATGGAGTTTTCTTGGTTTAGTTTAACTCCATGTGTTAATAGGGCTGGAAGGGACATAAAAATTCAGCTGTCTAGTGAGCACATGGTGGCCTTGTGTGCTTGCATTTCCCAGACTGAGGGGTGATATCCTGATGTGGATGTTGTCTAACCCCTGTTAGTGTCCACCATGACTGGATTAAAGTGGCACAGATTTGGTAGCTGATGCATTTGGTGTTATGTTTCAGCTTGTCACAGTGTAGGGGAAGAGCTCTGTCAGTCTGTCAGGAAAAGATGTGTGGGATTTCAGTGACCTCTGGGAAGTTCCTGACTGAGCTACTGCAAGGTGCACTCATTGTCTGGGCCCTGGCAGGGAGAATAAAACAATCCCTGCCAAAGACCTTCTGAATAAAAGGGCCTGAAATGAAGTTGCACCCCTTACTCTGTCGTTTGGTGGATTGTTTTCCCTTCTTTGCATCACGTCTTTTTTTCCTGTCTGCAGTGAGCAATTTGCTGGAGTTCTGTGCCAGCCTTGTATGGGACACCCTGGTGTGGGACACAGCACCCACACCAGTCCTCTGGCACACGTGAGAGAGGATATACTTTGAGACAGATGGGGTCATCAACCTGACACAGATCTCACAATTTGTCCAGAGAGACAAATACCTCAATTTCTTTGTGTTTAAAACATCAGACTATTAAAAAAAAAAAAAAAAAGCCTTGGAGAAGGAAAATGTATCTTCCCTATGTCTCTTTCTGAAGGACAAGAAGAACCTTCATCTCTGGGATAAAGCTGTGATGAGTATTATAATAACAGCCTGTATATCTGAAGCTTTGTTGGAAGATGCTCTCCTTTGAAAGGAGCGGAAATCAGTCCTTGGGTTAATTATTATACTTGGGTTCTTCAGTGTCACCAGTGCTATAACCTGGTCTGATGGCAAACCAGCAATCTGCCAGGAAGGAGGCAGCCCCCAGAACTGGGAGGAGGAGGGATATTCCTGTGCTGTTGAAGTCAGTGGCAGTTCTATCACAGCTTGGAAGAAGGGCCTTACACCACTCAAAGTGTGAGTTGCCTGCGCAGCGTGACCCAGTTACGAGGCACAAACTGAAATGTTCATCCTCTGTGGCTGCTCACAGGCAATGTAAGGCCTCCAGGATGCTCCCCTCGCACTTGCAGGGCCTTCAAGAGCAGAGTCACAACTGAGGGAAGTAAAAGAAGTAAAACTGCTTTTGAGCAGCGAGCGATGCTCAAGAGCTCACGAGGCTGCAGCGAGTTGTCAGTCTCACCCTGACGACCCTTTCACTTTGGGTGAAATTAGGGAGCTGGAGGGAGAGGAATAGAGGGGAGAAGAGTTTAAAAAGAGCTATCTCCTTTGTGCTCTGTGAACCAAAGAGAGCAAAACTGCCACCAGAGAATAAACAACCTGACTTATTTCCCAAGGCGTGTTGTCAGAGATCACCTTTGCCACCGAAACTGGAACGTCCTATGTCCAGGTATCTCTCCCGAGGCCTGAGAAATTTGGAAGAGAAAAACCAAAGAGCGTTTATCTGCGTCTTCCAGTTAACATCAAGATTATCTGAGTTCATAGAACCTCTCTGGGTGACCTGGGTATTTAAAAAGCCCAGAAGAGCACACCACGATATCTCTCGTGCTGAGGGATGAGGCCTCATGGAACAGAAGACAATATCTCATGCTGAGGGATGAGGCCTCACTAAACATAAGCTCTGAAGAGAAAAATAAAACCTGTGGTTTCCTTTTTGGGCTCTCTGAGCTTCGTTTGAACTCCCTTGCCCGTTGTCTTTGTCTGTAAAGGAAGACAAAATAAATACATAAAACTGCCCACTGGGACCTATTTGTTATCTCTGGAAAGTTCCTTACACTTGAAAGGGGAGTAGAAAAAGTACATTGCAAGATCTGAAAGCAAGATGCAAAGAGGGCTGTTTTTTCATCTCAGCAGCCAAAGGCAGCCTGGTGGTTAAAAAACAAAATAGCCTTTGCTATCACAAAGCTGCAGCCACAGATTTGCTGTGGCACTGCAGTGTATGTCAGCTGGAATCAGTTGTTTATGGCCATATGTTTTCAAATTTGGTGACTGCTTTTGAGAGCTTGTCCTACTAAGTCTCTTCGACCTGAAAGCATCGGTTGAACAGAGTGGTCTGGGTGTGAGGTTTCCACATCCTTTTAGTTTCTCTTTCCCTTTTTCTGAATTCCTGGCTTAGAAGGCACGAAAAGAAGAAAACCAAGGTATTGCAGACCTTATTTAAATGCAAATCACCATGTCAGAAAACCTGTGCTTCCCCTGGGTTGTGCATAAATTTGTTCCCTTCCTTCCTTCCTTCCTGGTGAAGGGGTGACTTGTCTGTGTTTCCAGCAGCTCCACAGGCACATCAGGGAAGAAATCTTGCAGCCAGGACACTGCCTGGCACAAAGGGAAGAGTCCTTTGTTGCTTTGTGTTGACATATGCAAAAACTGAGAATCTGGCCCTCAAGATTTGCACTTTTTAGAGCATTTTGTGGATACATTTGCTTCTGTGCAATATTCTCCCTTCCTGTGTCTTGTTTACTGTCTCTATCAGCAAGTGCTGCTTGCAGTAATTAAATTGACAGGGGTTTGTTACCCTGGAGTGAATTTGTATTACTGGGATTTTTAGCAAGGCACAGCATTTATTTGTCGTAGGAAAAAGATATTTTTAAAAGAAAATCTTGACCTTTTGGCCAGCGAGGAGTACTTGTCACATTTGATTTTGAGCTCCTTCGTGTGGTCTTTATCACTGTGCTAGTTTTTCTGGCGCTGGGAATCACGTCTTGCATGGAAGCAGCAAAAATGCTGGAACTGTTTCATCTGCATCTTGCCCGGGGCAGGTTGGGATGTGCCTTTGTTAACGAGACTGGGGACTGACCAGAGAGCTCAGAGCAGTGACAGCAGCAGTGACCTGACCTGGGCTTCACCACCACAGGCAGGGATAGATCTGCACTCCTGGGGCCCTCCCTTGTGACTAAGGCCAGTGGAAGGGCATTGCCACGTGAAGAGAACAGATTTCATTTTGAAATTAAGTACTCTCCCAAACTAGCTCTCAATATGCTTGACACCACCGTGTGTTAACACTTCTGCAACCTTCAGCAGTGGAAAAACAAGGAAACAACATAAAATGGTTCAGTTCTCCTTTGTTATCCCTGAACCTGGCTCATGAACACCACGGCACAGTGATTTAAACGTGCATCTTGTCCCTCATCTTTAGCAGAAGGACAGTTCCTGGGAACATGGCTATAACCTTGTCCATACCAATTAAATATGATTGTTTTCCAAGGCAGTTTGCACTGTGCAGATTCCCTTTGGGTGTGTGCTCACGGTGCATTTTAAGAGTACCTTGCAATAAGTAAAGTGTCAGTTCTGTGCAGGAGACCAGTTAGGTAATCAAGGGCATGGCAGCAGGTGGAGCTGGTCAAAATAATATAAAATGTCTCCTGGAGTTTGCCTGTGTTAATAAAAGTGGCCTATTTAAACCAGTGCAAGTTCATTGGTAGGCAAATCCTTAATCCTTAAAATAGAGCAAAATCAGTAAAATTATTCTTAACTTGAATTGGTCCGTGCAGACCCTATAATTTTGTTGAGTAAGAGGGAGAAGGTTTTAACTAATTGCATTAATCTGTACAAATGACTTCTGTGGACCCATTTGGGCCAGTAGACTAAAACTGGCATAAAGGCATAGAAATTTTGACTATTGAAAAGCTCTGAGCAAGGAATGTTCCCACGGTGCAACAATCCTTTGAGTCAGGGTGCTTTAATACTGTAATTCATGGGTTGTCTACAGGGGGAACATAAGAAAGTTAATCT